TTAATCTGTGTTTTTGCACAGGAAGTCTACATACTGTTAGCTTTAACACCAATCTGATCTACCTGGGTTCTTTCCACGTGTAAGCATTCAACAGCCCTATCTGGTTCAGCTGCATATGGGCAGAGGGCACAGGAGAGAGAAGCCAGGAAGCCAGACTCACCTGCTCCGTCCTGTTGAGATAGGCAGCTCTCCCTATCGCCCCCAGCATCCGCACTGTTCTCAGCTGGCTCCTCCTGCTTGGGGGCTGGTGAGACATCGGGCTGAACCATGAGGACATTGGCTTCCACTCTGCTGGGAGACACGGATCCTGCAGCTCCTCCCTCAAGAACCGAGGTGCCAGGGTGCGTGGCATGAGAGCCAGCTTGGACTGTAGAACTCTCTTTTGCCTCTCTGCTGTGCACAGAGCCCTCCTCTCCCCTCGTGGGGCTGGGCGCGGCTCGAAGGGCTTCGCTCACGTTCTCTGCGGGTTCCACTGCAAAATCTTTCTGCGGAGGTGGTACCACCAGGAACAGTTTGGGCTTCTTGGAAATGGGGGGTGGCTTCCTCCTGGGTGAAGAGTCTGGGAGTGGGGTGGTGCTGGGACTGGGCCGAGCCTCTGCCTCCCCAGCGCTCAAAGCTCCAGGGCTGCGGCTCACAGGGCCGCCGCGCTCGGCCGCACTGCCATGGTCACCCTGACTCGAGCTCTTGGCAGGCGTTGGAAGCGAGCTTGTCACAGAGGCAGGCTGGCTTTCACTCTCCATTTCATTTGTGCTATTTCGGGATTTCAGGAGAGCAGATGGCTTTAAGTGGTACTGTGGAGCAACTGGAGTACGTTGTTCCTGAGCTGTTCGTTCAGACAACAGTGCTGCCTCGGTGCCTGAGTTCTTCCTCACCGGCCTCAACTGCACCATCTGCAATGCTTCCGTGGTTATCAGGGGCATGGGGGGCCTGCTGGTCTCCTCCTTGGAAGAAGGCGGCCTCAAGGATCCCCGGGAGGATTCTGGCTGGCCAGAATTTGTGAAAGGCGGCCTGGTGTCTTTCATGAATTTGGGGTCAAGAGGTGGGGCGGGTGGGGGCTCCGAGAAAGGTAAGAGAGGTGGGGGCAATGGCAAGGACACAGGTGAATCTGGAAGAAGCGGGCTCAGTGCAGTGGGCGGGGGAGAAAGGCACCAATCAGGTGGGGAGCAGAAGGGAGTGAGAGCTTCTGGCGGCGGAGGGGGGAACACAGGAGAGTGAGGCAGAGGAGAGCCCTGGGAGCAATCTGTGACAGGAGGTGGGGGAGGAAGGAAAGGAGACCTGTCTGCAGGACAAGGCGATGGAGGAGAGGGAATAGGAGGAGGAGGAGCCAGGGGAGAGCCCACGGCTGGATCCAGTTTCTTCATAGTGCCACTTCCTTCAGTAGAAGTATTAGAGGAAAGAGAAGTGGACGACGAGGAAATGGATACTGAAGATATCAGAGAGGACTTCCTTTCTGGTACCCTGGGCTTGGGCTTCCCCTTCCCATTTGCTGGTGACATTGATTTTAAAAACACAGGCACAGGGGTGAGTGCTGTGGGTGTATTCGACTGGCTGGAATACCCACTGGATGGAGAAATGACTCTGTGGGACTTCTCTGGTGACATGATCTTTGGTTTGACTGAACCACTGGGCACTTGAGGCATTGTGGCTCTGGACCCTTCTTGGACATGGCGGACTGGCCCGTTCCCAGTGGGCACCCCGCTGCTGGTTGAACAGCCCCCTGCTGGGTTCCCCAGATCTTCCTGCATGCCTGTGTAGTCAATGTAGTAACCCCAGGGGTCCATGTACTCTGACTTGACACTGCTCGTGTCACTCTGCGATGGTGTGGCCCCGCACAGGGAGTAGACATTGGGGGTGGTGGCGGAAGTCATGCTGCTGCCAGCACTGACCGTGCTCTGGCTCCGGGAGCGGGGCAGCCAGGGCTCTTCCAAGTCACTGCAGGGGCTCTGGGAGGGCGAGCTGCCACCCTTGCCTGGGAGGCTCAGCTGCAGCGAGTGCTGGAGTGTGGCGATCAGGCTCTCGTTGAGCACCTGCCCGTTGGACTGGCCACTCTTCTTGGGAATCCTGCGGAGGGAGTCTGTCCGGGAGGGTGGCAGGGGAGGCTTCTTTGCTTTCTTCAAAGAGATGTTTCTCGATAAGGATTTATCCTGGTAATTGGACCGGTCCCCTGGGTTTTTCTGAGCTCTTCCATCAAAAACATTGACCACGCTGTGCCTGGGGTTCCCAAAGCCATCACTGCTATTGCACAGATTCCCAGATCCATGTCCAGAGTCAGTGTGCACAGATGTGCAGTAGCCATCGTGGTCCTCGGAATACAGCGACCCAGCATCCTCTTTGTTGGACGTTTGGTCCAAACTGCAGCTGCTCATGTTACTTGTGGGAGTGGAGTAGCCAGGAGTTGCTACATGCGGCTTCAGGGGGGATGCCCTTCCATTACCTGAGGACTTGTATTCCCAGGGCTCCGAGCTGCTGTGCCCTCCACCCCCTGAATAACTAGATTCACTCTTGCCATCCACATCTTGGGAGTGGGCTGGGAAGGCTAGGTCGTTTCTACAATTATACGGCATGGCTTGGGACGCATTCTCCCTATTTGCTGGAGCATTTAGAGAGACTGCCGAGTCACAGAGGGACAACAGTGTGGGTGCACCAGGGGAATGAGGGTCTAAGGCCTGTGAAAGAATGGTGGTGTGACCCTCATTCCAGTGGCGCCCGGGAGACTGATGATCATCTTTCACAGCATGCCTGGAGATGAGGTGGTCTCTGGGTTTTATCTTTGCATGTGATGAGCCAGAACTTCTACTTTCCCGCTGCCCTGCACTCTGAGCAGTGTGAATAGCGATGACCTCGGAAGAGGAAGACAGTGTGGCATTTGGGATGATGCTGGTGGAGTAGGCTGCATGAGGAGAAACCACACATGCTGGGCTCATTACATTTTCACTCTCAAAGTGTCTCAGCTCTTGGGATTTGGGTCTCAAAAGTGTTCCAGTCTCTGAGGCACCTCCTAAATGGCCTAAGTTTTCATCTGCTTGTGGGTGACCTCCCTGGTAGAGGAATGTGCCATCCATGTCTCCTGCAGGGCCCAGGGCACCCAGCCTCGGCTCAAGAGACTGAATGTTTGCCCTCACTCCAGAACGCGGAAGACTATGGAAGCCAGCATCATTGTTGAGGCGGGAAGGGAATATGATCCCCGCAGAATCGCTCAGCACAGACATGTTGCCAGAAGAACCTGAGAAGTGGCCCATCTGGGCAGCAATGCCTTGCCCCTTCTGTGCCCTGATTCTCCTCATGGAAGGTGGTACGACCTTCACATCCTCCGTCTGACAGCTGGAGTCCCTGGTTTCTGAGCGCTGCCCAGCAGACCGATAGCTATCGAACCTTCCTAGCGCAGAGTAGTGATCGGGGGTGTGCACTGAGTGACCATCGACATCATCTTGGCCAGTGCCTGATGCTGGAGATAAAGCAGAAAGAGGCTTGTTACCTGAAAATAAAATCCATAGTTCATCACCTATACCCTCACCGCCTCTGACAGAATTTTTTAAAAAATTTTCTATTTGATTTAATGTCCTTTCTCCTGTAGGTACCTAAGTACATTTAAAAAGTTACTGATAGCTCTAAAATAAAAATTCTTGTCATGAATTTCAGGTACTTCTCTTAATTTGTACCTCCAATCCTCCTATGGCTTGAGTGCCACATATGGAATTCTCAGGTGATCCCTTCAAGATCAAGGCTGCTGAGGGCTCAGAGGAGGATTTACTTTGAAATAACCACCTTTCAGTAAAGTCTTCAAGGTAGCCTTTCGCCCACGGGGTGACTGTGCAGACCATCTATCAAGCAGTGACACAGCTTTCCCAAAGGCAGATGAATGTAGTAATTGAACAATAGGGCCACGGAGATACCATGTTTGAGGGGTACTGGTATAAAACAGTGTTAATTACATTAATTCTTTATGTCAGAAGGAAATTCTAAGGCAAAGAAAACTGATTTACAGGCCCATCTGTGTTCCAAACATTTCATTATCCATCTGAAGTCATTATCTGTCTGTTGGTGACATTCAAAATTCAACAGCAATCTGTTGTGTTCTGGTGGGGGAAACCGGCAGGAACTGATCCAGTGAACATTTCCTCAAATTAGGATGATTTATTCGTTGGAGTTTTACAACCAAACAGAGAATAGTATGTTTAAAAAAAAAAAAGAAACACAAGGAAGGGCCAACAGAGAGGGACATGGACGAGGTAAACCTTAAGTGTAAACAGATTTCAAGCTACCCAGGAAAGAACAGAGCTTATGAGGAAAAAATAAACAAATAAATAAATCACAAAGAACCTACCCAAAGTGTACTGAGAAAAAAAAAAGTTAATCCTTACGACAAATCAAATCTCTAAAAATAGTAGTAAAACTATAGTTCTCCCTATGTTATCTCCATCCAACAAGGACCCGAGAGTATCTATCTATCCCAACACGGGCTTTGCTGAGCAACACGAGTCAAGCACACCCCTCTGTGTCAGTGAACACCTGGATGTGACCCTAGGGGTGATAGGGTTCCTAAGGCTTCCCTCTCCCAGCACATAATCTAACCAGGGCATGGACTGGATAGAGAACGCCTTTTGCTCACTCAGATAGCAGCGGGTAGTACTGAAATGGCAGCAATGTGCTTGTATCAACTTCAAAAGAGATGGCACCCTGGAAGGAAGGATCCTGGCATAAAGCCGCCTTCTTCACTGTGATGATGGAGAGGAAATTTTATACTTGTATTTTTAGCAAAGATGATCTATTTCCTCTCTCTACCCTCTTTCAAGTACCCACTCGCTGAAGACAGACAGACACACAGACACACACACACAGACACACACAGACACACACACACACACACACACACCACACGAGCTGTCCCACACAGACAGGGAAAGTGGACAAAAGGACAGGACAGAAGAAAAACCCACTTTGAGGAGGTACAAAGTTTTGCCATTTAGTAATTTAGAAGATGGGCGGTTGACTGGTATTGGTGTATCAGTGCATACAAGTTCAATTCCAAACACTCAAAATACCTAATTCCATTCAACAATGCGTTTTGAATGTTTGGAGTTGACCTTATATGAATACATTTTTTCCTTTCAAAACTGTACTAGTTTTTGCATGGAGTTAGTGGTAGATTTTTAACTGTCTTTAAGTAGCATAAACAAAATCCTGATACTTTTGGGTAACAGTTTTAAATATGAAACCATTCTAGGCATGTTAAAAAAAAATAGAAATATAGCTATTTTATCACCCTCTACAGCTAAGTATAACTTTCTTATTAAAATAAAAACATTTCCTAAAGACCTTAAAAAGCATATGAAAAACTAATATATCTTATCACAAGGACCACCAAAATTCTATTCCCAAAACAGACCCTCCAATATTTTCACAGTATAAAAAGTTTCAGAATATGATAGGAAACAGATGAATGCTATAGAGGCATATGTCATTTTACTGTGCTTAGCTTTATTGTGCATTGCAGATAATTGTGTGTGTTTTTTTTTTAACAGATCGAAGGTTTGTGGCAACCCTGTGTTGAGCAAGTCTACTGACGCCATTTTTCTAACATGTGCTTACTGTGTGTCTCCGTGTCACGTTTTGGTTATTCTTGCAATATCTCAAACTTTTTCATTATTGTTAGGTCTGTTATGGTGATCTGTGACCAGTGATCTTTGATATTACTATTGTAATTGTTTTGGGGTGCCACAAATCACACCCACATAAGACAGCAAATGTGATTGATAAATGTTGTGTGTGTTCTGACTGCTCCACTGACCAGCTGTTTCCCAGCTTCTCTCCCTCTTCTCGGGCTTCTCTATTCCCTGAGATACAACAATAATGAAATTAGGTCATTAATAGCCCTACATGGCCTCTAAGGGTTCAAGCGAAAGGAAGAGTTGCATGTCTCTCACTTTAAATCAAAAGTTAGAAATGATTAAGCCTAGCGAGGAAGGCATGTCAAAAGCTAAGATAGGCCAAAAGCTAGGCCTCTTGTGCCAAACAGTTAACCGAGCTGTGACTGCAAAGGAAAAGTTCTTGAAGGAAATAAAAAGTGCTACTCCAGTGCATACACAAATAAAAAAACAGCTTTATTGCTGATATGGAGAAAGTTTTAATGGTCTGGACAGAAAATCAAACCAGCCACAACATTTCCCTTAAGCCAAAGCCTAATCCAGAGCAAGGCCCTAACTCTTCAATCCTGTGAAAGCTGAGAGAGGTGAGGAAGCTATAGAAGAAGAGCTGGAAGCTAGCACAGGTTGTTTCATGAGGTTGAAGGAAAGGAGCCATTTCTACAACATAAAAGTGAAGCAGCAAATGCTGACGGAAAAGCTGCAGAAATTTATCTAGAAGATCTAGCGAGGTTAGTTGATGAAGGTGGTTATACTAGACAACAGGTTTTCAATGTAGATGAAACGACCTTCTAATCATCTAGGACTTTCAAAGCTACAAGAGGAGGAGTCAATGCCTGTCTTCAAAGCTTCAAAGGACAAACTGACTCTTGTTAGAGGCAGAGTAGCTGGTGACTTGAAGTTGAAGCCAATGTTTCTTTACCATTCTGGAAATCCTAGAGTCCTTAAGAATTATGCTAAACAGAATCTGCCTGTGCTCTATAAATGGAGCAACAAAGCCTGGATGACAGCATGTCAGCTTACAGCATGATTTATTGAATACTTTTAAGTCCACAGTTGAGATCTACTGCTCAGAAAAAAAAAGATTTCTTTCATTTACAGTGCACCTAGGCTGGGGGCAGTGGCTCACGCCTGTAATCCCAGCACTTTGAAAGGCCAAGGCGGGCAGATCACCTGAGGTCAGGAGTTCGAGACCAGCCTGAACAACATAAAGAAACCCTGTCTCTACTAAAAATACAAAAAAATTAGCCAGGTGTGGTGGCACATGCCTGTAATCACAGCTACTCGGGAGGCTGAGGCAGGAGAATCGCTTGAACCCAGGAGGCGGAGGTTGCAGTGAGCTGAGATCTCACCACTGCACTCCAGCCTGGGCAACAAGAGTAAAACTCCGTCTCAAAACAAAAAATTATATATACATACACACACACACACACACACACACACAAATACAATGCACCTAGTCACCCCAGAGCTCTGATGAAGATGTACAAAGACATAAATGTTTTCATGCCTGCTAACACAACATTCATTCCGCAGCCCATGGCTTAAACAGTAATTTTGACTTTCAAGTCATAATTTTGTAATGCACTTTGTAAGGCCAAAGCTGCCATAGACAGTGATTTCTCTGATAGATCTGAGCTAAGTTAAGTTGGAAACCTGAAAAGGATTCACCACTCTAGCACAGTAAGAACAATTTTAATTCATGGGAGAAGGTCAAAATATCAATATTAGTAAGAGTCTGGAAGAAATTGATTCCAGCTCTCATAGATAACTTTGAGAGGATTGAGACTGAAGTGAAGAAAGTGACTCCAGATGTGGTAGAAACAGCAAGGAACTAGAGTTAGAAGTGGAGCCTGAAGATGTGGCTGAATTGCTGCAATCTCATGATCAAACTTGAACAACGAGGCATTGCTTCTTACAGACGAGCAATGAAAATGCTTCCCTGAGATGGACTCTACTAGTGAAGATGCTGTGAACATTGTTAAAATGACAACAAAGGATTCAGAATATTATATAAACTTAGTTGATAAAGCAGCAGCAGGGTTTGAGAGAGTGACTCAAATTTTGAGAGTAGTTCTACTGTTGGTAAAATGTTACTAAACAGTATTACGTGCTACAGAGAAATCTTTCAAGAAAGGAAGGATCTGTCAATGTGGCAAATGTCACTGTTGTCTTATTTTAGGAAATTGCCACAGTCATTCTTATCTTCAGCAACCACCACCCTAATCAGTCAGTAGCCATCGACATCGAGGCAAGAACTTTCACCAGCAAGAAGATTACAACTGTCTGTAGGCTCAGATCATCCTTAGTATTTTTTAGCAATCAGGTATTTTTACACTGTACCTTTTTTTTTTTTTTTTTTTTTTTTTTTTTACATAATGCTATTGCATACTTAGTAGACCACAGCACAGCGTAAACATAACTTTTATAGGTGCTGGAAAACCAAAAAATTCATGTGACTTGCTGTATTACAATATTCACTTTATTGTAGTGGTCTGGAACTATAGCTGCGATATCCCTGAGGTATGTCTTTAGACAGAACAAACTACAAAAAGACAACTACAAACAAGTGTAGACCACTTAGGTGCTGCTCAAACTTGATGGGATTTATCTGATTTTAAGATGTACAGAAATAATTATTTATACTTTTTCTTTTATTTAATAATATTTTGAATTTCTAAAAAATATATGTAATTAATGATGCTGAGGATTTACAAGTCAGTTTATTTAAGGTGTAGGCTATGAGTTTTTAAAAAGTCTTGTCAAGTAGATAGTTTCTTAGTATAAACTACCAAAAATTATTCATAAAGGGATTCCTTTAGATGAGGCCTTTTCTAGGTTCAGTAGCCAAGTGTAATATATATATCAACAAAATAATCCTATCTGATTCTAAAAGATGAAACCTCATAATATGATGTTCAGATACATTTTTGTACAGATTTAAGATAAAAGAAAAAATTCAAAATGTCCAATTGACTGAAACGAAAGGCAACAAATTTTAGTTTATCAGGTAAGTTTTGGAAGTAAGCGTTAAATATCATACCTTGATTTTAAAGTGTTACATATTGGCTAGTCTCCATTTTATTACTATTAATAATAGTCTGTTATTTATGGATTTTGAAATAAAAACTGCATATAAGTTACCATAATATATCTTTCTAATTCTTGGAAGTCCTCTCTATGGTTAGGTTTTTAAAAAAATCCAAACCCCCAGGCAACTTGGGCAATGCCTTTTGGACAGGGTGCATCTTTCCTAGCGAATGCCTTTCCTTTGGGCCATCATTTTCTTTTTGTCTAATTTGTTTGTTACACTACCCCTGTATATCTAGAAGAAGACTAATTTTAAAGAAAATATGAAGTATCTATTTTTGATCATCATTACCTACGTATGATTTGATAATCTTGGTAAAAAAACCTTGGTAGTTTTTAAAGTTTTTTTTTTTTTTTAAGTTTTTTTAAAGAAACCTTGGTAGTTTAAGACTTCCAAATCAGAGTCCTTATAAGTATAAAATACTGGGAAAAAAGGCAAGATCAACCAGAAGTCCTGAAAGGACAGAACAAATAAATATGTAATCCAATATTTTTGCTAAATAAAACTGTATATAAACGTTAACTCCTCATTCTATCCAGTAATCCTCCAACTAGCCTATCTATAAAACTAGAGTCCTTGTCTAATTATCTTTTTTTTTTTTTTTAAACTAGCTCTTCGATACGGTTGTCTCAGTTGACCTCCAGTTCTAATCCAGGTCATGTCATCGACCGCAATGATATTGACTGTCTCGTGTCTGGCAACAGTCACAACCCAGACAATGTGGGGAAAGCTATTTTCTTCCCTCCAGCATTAGTGGCAGTTCCATGTCACATGTAGAAGAAATGAACGTGGATTCCACGGATTTTAATCAGTGATTTAAAAAATACTATAATTACAAAAGAGATGATTTATCTAGCTTGCCAGATCATTCTAGTAAGATCAAAGAAACCACTGAGCTATTGGCTTCCATACTGGTTGGTTCAGGAATGAAAGTGATAAAAATTCGTAACTCTCGTTCTAGACGTCATATGACATACACACACAGACAATGCATATGGAATACTTATATGTATCCGCATCTTTATTTGGACCACACTATCCTTCTGATCTTACGAAGGGCCTAAATGCCTGTCTTTAAAGTCACTCCTTGAAGGCACATCTCCTAAAAAGACCAGTTAAAGTATAAATGTTGCTGGAGTGCTTTAGGAAATTACTCCATAAACTATCTACTGAACATACGAGTACACATTGGTTTCCAAATTAGTTAGCTGTCACTTCAAGAATGGAAAAAAGAGTCTGAAAGAATAAGGCATAAACTGAGAGGAGAGAGAGAAAGCACACAGGTGTCCTTAAGGTAGGTTGAGGGAAGGTGCCTAGAGACAGGTAGCCACAGAGGAACCAGGCCAATAATAGCAGCAGCACGAACCAAAGACAGACT